AGGCAGAACAAATCCATTTTTCATTGCTGATTATCAGTTGCACAAACGAGTCTTCCCATATCAAATACTCTGGGAGCCAGCACATGACTAATATACTTAACAGCTTGAACCATTTTTTTTTCCCTGTAAAAATATTTGTGAGGGTTGCAATGAGAATACTGTGCCTTGATTTCTAATCTAGGAGCTGAGAATGAGAATTGTTCAAAGAGGTATCTGATTTCGTAATTTCATAATTCTACAAGTTCTAAATACAACTTTCTACTTGATGACTTCCAGCCAAGGTAAACCATGACAGCAGAATATATTTCTTTTTTTCAAGGAAAAAGCAATGATTTATATCAAAAGATAGCTGAAGTGGAATCATCGATGACCCTTCTTAGTTCATTCAACTGTGATGAATATGGACTAGAAATAATTTGGGAGAAATGAATGAGAGGTCATTCAGCTTTAAATCAGCCCTTTTCTAAATGGAGACCAACTCTCTACTTTCAGTATAAAACATGTCTAGTAATTGCAGAAGATATTATACACACACACATTTAGTCTTTTTTTGTGTGTCTTGCATATATATTCATGCTACATCTAGGTCTGAACAATATGTCAGAAATAGACTAGGTTTTGAATGCCTATGTCATTAAGGGATGTTATTTCACTCAAGTAGAGTTAATCTGCAGGGATCAGAAAAAGAGATCAGTACTGTGCATTATATGGTTGATTATAAAGGATCCATCATTGAAAAATCTTCGGTTGTGCTTCAGTCACATAATACTTTTTCCCCTCAAACTTTTCAAATGGGAAGATTTTAACTATGGTGATATTAGGAAAAGTTTGAAAATGTGTCCCCAGAATGTTCAACAGCAGAAATCAAAAAAGAAAGTAACAAACAGAAGTATATTTAGAATCTGTAATACTGAAGTCACTTCAATGATGCATTAGGGCCGCAGCACATTTTTACTATTAGGATTTAAGATAGTGCATACATTGCCCTTGGAAAAATACTAGCAATATCTTAGTATGATAACAAGTAGTTGGAAAGGGATATCAAGAAGACGTCCCTGTCTGAAAATGGAATCAAGTTTAGTCAGACAGTCTGTATTCAGTATTTGCCCCTTGTTCTTTTTTGATAAGCTTTTTAAATAATCCACTGTGGAATATGTGGTTTGTTTTCCGTAGTGCTTTGGTGTCCTTCTGATTATATGTTTTTTTGCTACTAACTAAAATATTTTTGCTGCAAATAGATTTTATTTCCTATCATTCTTCCTAACTACAGCTGTGAAGAGTGGGTTATCCCTATCCTTTTCGTAACATTAACTGAAAAACCACTGTTATGTTTTCTCATAATCTTCCTTTCATAAATAAAACTAGCAGAATTCCTTCAACCTTGCCTCTCAAAACATGTTTTCTAAGCCTATGTTGATTGTTGCTGCTTTCTTCTGAGTGCTCTTTAGTTTCCATACATCCTTCCAGCTCCAGTGTATGCCAGCAGAAGTCTTAACAGCTGAAAAGAACGCAAGGGTCATTTCCATTGTCTTCCCATGTACTTTCTGGCGATATTGTAATCTGCCATAATCCCTAGAGCCTTTTCCACAGAAATTTTACTTTGGCAGTAGGATTCCCATTGTGACATTTACACAGTTCCTTATTTCAGCCCAGTGTGGCACTTGACATTTATTCCTATTGGACACTGTCTTTGTTATCCTAGACTATATCTCCAATTTGTAAAGTTTACTTTGAATTCTGATCTTGTTCTACAGTATGCTTGAAGCCCTTTCCTGGTTGGTTTTGTCTGCATTGTAATAAGTGTGATAATTTGTGCAGTCTGTTTCCTTAAAGTACTTTGATTTGTTTCCAGTGAAATTTATTTACTGGTCTTGACCATCTCTCCAATTTTTCAAAATATTTTTGAATTTCGATTCTTTTTCCAAAATGCTTGCTATTCCTCCTAATTGAAAGTGTTTCTACACATTTAATAAGTTCATTTTCTATTCAGTCTCCTACACCATTCAATAAAAATTGAAAACAGATCGAAAAAGATTTTATAAAGAGCATAACCTGTTTTGAAACCAGTCTTGTTAGGTGAACAAAGCTGATTCTGGAAATTTTTTTCCCATTCTTTCCCAGAGGACATTATTTCCTTTTATCACTTGCGCAGTATCATTTGCAGACACTGGTATTCTTTTCTCAGCATCATTTGGTAGCTGCCCACTCATAGCGTTTCTCCGTTGAGTGTAAAGCATTGATAACCCCTGAATTAAACAGATCAATCACCTTTTGTCTTGTAGTATAATCAGGTGTTCAAAAACAGTTCCATGCTCTACAATATAAAACCAAATACATTAAATCTAAACAAAATACTTTGATAAGAGTTATTTGATATCTGTTTAATATGCTTATGAGGGATTTCCTCTCCCTCTCTGAGACTTCCTGATTCCTTCTAGGTATGTCATGAGGCGGAATTAGATCACACTCCATTTGAATTTTTGAACTATTACAAGTTTTTGAAGACACTTTGGAATTGTCCCACATCAGATGTTTCAGGAGGAGGTAGTAAAGTAAAAGAAATTACCCTACAGTGCATCAGCAATTCTATAATTAATAGATAGAAAGTAGCTTAGCTCTTGTAGTAGCTTAGCTTTCTCAGGAAAAAGATCGTTTCTTCACATTTACCACAGAGGAAGAAAAATGGGTAGACACTACAGATCACCTGACATTGCATAAATATCTCAGAATAATTCCTGTTTGCCAGAGGCTTACATGAACTAATGTCAAATTTACCTGAAAACTATGTTCTAGCATGTTCTACAATCTAATCAAAGTTTTGTAAATTCTGGCTAATATTTTAGACTCCAATCCTTTAATTCCATTTCACATATTATCTCTTGATTCAAGTTCTTTAATTTCCTTGCCCCTCAAATACTTTTTAGCATTTGAAGGCATGTAGCCTCAAAAAAAGTGACATGAAGATATTACTGTTCTTTTATAATTTTGTAAAAAAAAGAAAAAAAAAGAAATTTAATTTCACTTTAGGAAGCCAGAAACTCATAGGAAATACAGGAACAGATTTTTTTATTTTCATATAGGGAAATCATAGTGAGAGTTGAACAGTTTAAACCATAAAATAACGTGAGAGAAAGGAGTTAGATTGCCAGAGTATAAGGAATCAGACACAGGAAGGGAAATGTTCAGTAAAACATGAAATGAAAATTATGATAGCTGGGCTTTTCACGGTAAAACACTAGCCAATTTGAGACTGCAAATAAGAGGTAAAAATTTTTCCTGTTATTTTAATAGAAAGTTTTCAAAGGCTCCTCAGTGAACCATAGCCCATCCTCCCCATGAACCACTAAAAAGGTACCTGATTTACTGAATCTTCTGTTAAGTCTCCCAATAATGATATTTCTGTGATGTAGGCTTTATTGTGCTGTATGGAAATCATCTGATTCTTGTGGCTTGAAGTTCTCATCAAAATACAAGTTTCTGCTTACCTTGAAGTTACTAAATCAGCAATCCGAGGTGCTTCAGTAAACAGCCTAACACATCATTTTTAGATGTTCTTTCTCAAAGCAGATAACTCAAAAACCTTCAAGAGGTGACATCAGAGCACCATCACCAATCTGCTAGTATTTTTTTCTCAGCCTTTGCTTTCATGCTGAAATTTATGGTAGGACATAAGGCTTCAAGTCCAGATGTTTCTTCCTTCTTCCCATCCCAGCAGAATTTAAGCTTCCTAAATCTACTTTTTCCTTTTCTTTCCAAGCTTATGTATGTACAGGATTTCTCTGCTGTATTAAGACATGCTGAGGACATTACTACTGGTTATCCTGATTGGAAACAAACAGGTCTACAGAGATCGTAGACTATGAATTCAAACTGGCAACTTAATTTTGAATGCCGACATTATGAAATTAATATTCAAACACGTTCTTTATATTCCTACCACTTAAATCTTTCTTCATAAACTTAACAAATTTCATTTCACTGTTCCACTTAAAAGAAAAAAGCTTGTTATCCATAGAATGTGCACAGCTCTGCCTTTTCAAAAGCACAAGAAATTTGACTGTAAATAGGAAAAAAAGTCAGTAGATGCCTTCTGGTATTTTGCTGATTGTATTTGTTTTTAAAGGTAATCTGAAAGTGTTTTGACACTATGGAATTGATCATAACCTGATAAGATCAACTCTGGCTCTCAAAATTTAGCTTATTTGAAACTTATTTTACATTTTCTGTTGTTATTGCAAAGGTTTCACAGTGAATCCTCACTGAGCCAACAAAGTCCATTTCTGGAAGAAAAGACTCATATCTTTCTGTTAAATTTCGATATACATAATTTGGGGTTTTAATACTGTTCGGGAAGTTTGAAGTTTCTATGTGCTTATGAGCAAATCCATGTCTATTTTAAAAAAACAGGTTTTGTTGCACTTATGTATTTTTATCTTTGATTTATTTAAAATAAAATTGATGGAGCTGTATATAACTCCCACAAGCCAATTCTGAGAAGCTTTTTAAGCAACTCAATTTTTTTCGAAGTTTAACAATGATATGTGTTTTCCATCCTATTGTCTAACACATGCTTACTTTCAAGAGTAGAGATAGATTTATAATTGATTAAAATAGAGCATAACGAAATAAAAAGTTGGTAGGTATTCAATACACAGAATATGTGTGTGATTGGTGTTTGTGAACTTCTCATTAACTGTCAGTGTAGACTGTGAGGATGGGTTAGTGATCACGATGCAGATTATGACAAGTATCAAAAGAATTGCAGTGTATTGGAATATTTGACGTTTTGCTAATAGAAAGGTCACAGATTATTTATTTTAAATGAGAAAATTTTATGTTTGGCTTGAAAGATATTACCACTATCAGTAGTACATAATAGCAAAATAAATATTTTTCCCATAGGACTATTGAAATAAAAAAATAGATTTCCTTTAACAAAAGAAGACTATTTAAAATGATACATGTAATTTTTTTTATATATCTTGACTTTCTTTTTTTAGGTTTTATACAGAAGAGAGCATTTATTGACCATTTTATTGACCTGATTAATTTGAGTCTTGGAACAAATTGCCTTCCTGATGCCTGGATGAACTTAACATTTCCAGATGTAAGTTAACCCCTATTTTCATTTCAACTGAAGTGTTGGTTTGTGTAGAAGATGGAGCATTCTCCTTACTACGATAAAATTAAGAGTGTAACTATTATAGGGCATTATCAGTTTTTCCTTAGAATTCTTCTGTTCCACTAGAGAAAGATTCTGGAAGTCACTGTGCCAGAAATAAAATGCTTTTGTCAGTACTATATTTATTTACGCTTTTCAAATTATATCATCTTCATAGACACCATTGCAAATTATTTCCAGGAGCTAAAATAAGACTATTTATGTTCTTCATTCCAAGACAGGAGAATAAAATCTGGAGCTGGATGACCTTAAACTTACTTATCCAAGATTTTCAGATTTAGGAACGTGAAAAATTATGATTTAGTCTTCCCAAATCTTCCATCACTGAATTCTCAGATTAATTTTACTTTCAGTTGTTGCTGGCAAGCCTATGGGATGAAAAGATTTACTTGTTTTAGCATATTTGGATAATTATTTCTGACAGTAAGGCATGATTCACTTTAGGATTTTAATTGGATTTTACATGAGAGAAACAGCTTTATTCAAATATTTTTCATACAAATGAACTGCTTGAGTAAATTATTTTAAAGTTTCTGAGTGATGTATTTCCACTGAGCTTAGTGAAAACTAGGCACAGCGGTCATCATCAGTATATAAAATTCTAATCTTAGTACAAGAAAATTAATTTTGTGGGGAAAACTGAGTCAAACATTGTTTATTAATAGACCACATGTGCTTGTTCTTTATTCTTTTAGAACTTTTAGTGCTTATAAGTACTATTTTTATTTTAATAACACAATTTCTTTCCCTTAAAAGCACCATTTTAAAACAAGACTTTTAAATTTAGTATGAAAGCAAGAATTTACATACTAAAGGAAATGCATGAAGCATAAGCTAAGGTATATGTTTATTCTGCACATGCTGTTCTGAACTGAACTCACCTTTTCAGCATTATGTGACTTCACAGAATTTCAGATCAGTTTTCAAATTATAGTAAGGGGTACTGTACCTGCCAGTGTTAGGGCAGGTGACTTCTACAACAGCACCAAAGGAAAACTGGATGTAGGGCAGAAGATAGTGTAGAGGTACATAGTAGGATCTCACCCCACCAGTAGTGCAGAAATGAACTGTGCCAATTTTGTTCGCTTTACCAGATACAGCCTTAGCAGTGCTGCGTCAGGAGATTTTACATGTTTTCTCCTGTTTGTGTTCTGTACCCCTCTCTGCTATTATTCCAGAGTAAAAAGACACATGCAGCAAGCTGCAAAGCAGCTTTTCTACTACTATTTTTTTGTAACTGAAAATAATGCTGGAGCAGAGAAAAGCTACTTGGTGGGCACTTGATAGAGTAAGCAAAATAAGGCCAAGGCACAGGCCCAAGCATTTACTAAATTTTGTTCTCGTGCTGCTAAATTGTCAGTCCAATTCTTGGTGCTCTCCCAGATAGAGCGTGGTTCAGGGGTTAGCATGTGCTAAGGGATGTCGTCTCATACACAGTTTAGATATAGACTCCTGTTTAGGGAGTCAGAGTATTTATTTAGAGGGATATCAACGGCTCATGCCAATTGTCCTCAGTGACAGACAGTGGTGTGTGACCTATTTTCTGTTGTAATACGTATTCTTCATACATCTTTGAAACCTCACTGCAGAACCTTGTCCATCCTAACCAGGGAAAAGATGTATATATAGTATATAGAAAGTGTATGTTTATGTACACACATTTGACAATATTTATTATTTTGTTTTTGTAGTTACAAGATCTAGCATCTGCATTTACAGTGAACTCAGAACTTACTGACTGGCGCAGATTCTTGCTAGCAGCTGCACAGCCTTGGCCAGTGCCGTCTGTGACAGAACTTCTCAAAACGCTGCATAGCTTCAAGTCTGTTGATGTAGCTGGATCAGGCTTTGTTACACAGGAATACTATATGCAGGTTATAATTCTTTTATCTTTTGAATAATATCCTTTTTTTTTAAACTCTCTGAAATGAATGATGTATTGTTTGGTTTATTCACATTCAGAAATTCAGTCTGAATTTAAAATGTTTTGGGTTTTGAGGATTCTTTCTAGTGAAAATTGTCTTCAGGCAATTGAAGACGTAGTATCTGTCTTATCCATAATTCCACAAATCAGGCTAATTAAGGTTACTTTTTACTTCAATTTCCTACTTTCCCCATAAATTAATTTCAAGTAAAAATACTTCCTGTTCTAAAGAAACTATTCTGTGAACACTTTGACTACCATTATGTTGTTTGACACTGTATCTATAAGACAATACAATTGCTCCAAGAAGAAATAAATGGTTTAGTTTGGGCTCACCAGATCCGTTTTAATTAAATATTTCTAGAATTTTTCCAATAAGGAATTTTCACAAATGAAGATTGTTTTTCAGACCATGAAATACATGGAAAATTATAAACTTATTTGATGTATTCTTCTCTCTAAAGACAACTTCTATTGGAATGTCACATAGTTCAGCAAGGTTTTTCAGCAGGCAAGTTTCATGAAAGAGCATTAAGAATACATTTTTCTTCTTTTAGCAAAATTCTGCTCAATACATTTTTACTTACTCTTACTCTGGATTGTAAATCATACTTAGGATGACTGCTGATTCACTCTTTTAGTGCATACTAACCATATAATATATATGTATATATACATACCTATACATATATGTATAGATGTATATCTATATGTAGATGTATATATGTGTGCATGTATACACAGAAGTTCTACAGCTCTGTCAGTTTGTATTTGTTTGGTGATACTAAAATGATTTTCAAAATGTTTTACATAAATTTTTTAGAACCTTTGTTGCAGTTTGTTTTTCAATCACCTAGTATTATTTTTCTTCAAAAGTTAAATAGAGGCTGTGTTATTCCAGAAGCCTGTCAGTTTCAGAACTACTTTGATTAATTTAAAACTTCAAGGAGTGCCTGCCAACCCTTACCCACCCCAGACTTGCAAAAAAACAAATTCTGCAAAACCAGAAAACCCACAAAATGTGCAGGTCTATCTGCATCTATTTGTCTCTTGATGTGGTAATTTTACTGAAGTGTGAGAGTTTAAAAATAGGCTAACAGTGACAATACATGCAGACTGTGAATATACATTTTTAACACAGGATCCTAGTTCAAATGTAATATTAACTGAGCAATTCATTTATTCACTTCAGGAGTGGAATTGACTCATGTTGAGTCAATGATAGCAAATATGCAATGGTGTATACTCATTTGTTTATAGACCTACCCCCTGTTAGTTCTTCCAAACTTCCACGAGAGTGATGACTGAACTACAGTCTTATACAGTTGCTTAAAGACTAAAAAGGAGTAAAAGGTTCATAAACACACAGATAACTCCACAGCTGAAGCTCCTTTTTCAGAAGAGAACTATATGCATATATACTATATACATAATATATATTCGTATATAAGAGGCACATAACTTATGTTGAGAGAACGTTATGGGAACCTCCAGAGACTATCCAAAACAACTGGATTCAGTAGTCTCCATTGATCTGAAGATTTTGCTCTGCAATGGATTCATATTGCAAATGGAACTTTTAATGTCTGTCACCCCTATTTCACATTTGAAAATATGACCAAAACTTTCACCGCTGAAAAGCTTTGTGAAAACCCTCTATATGTGCTGTGTATGAGGTCCTACAGTTCATGTTACTGAGTACTGTGGTTTTGAATTTTTGCACATATAGCACGAGAAGAACAAGAACAGAATTTTTCAGACTGAAGCAAAATTTAGTCCTCTAATTTCAAATTAATTGATGAGGAACATCTGAATTGTTTTTATTGCAATGTTTGTTCTATCCTTTCAGAGCAGTTCATGACAAATTTTATGAGGTCAATACTTCTTTTTATCTTATTCATTTATTTCTTCAAAACATAATGATTCGTGTTCTTTGGAACATAGTACGCTAGAGAATTAATGAATCAGTGCAGTCTATGAAATAAAGGAAAGATGTAGCAGAGAGGTATTAAAATAATTGTTCAACAATTGTTATAATTGATATTATGTCATTGATATTGTATCATCTACAGCAAATCATCTCATATATTTCTCGTAAAGATCTCAAAGACAACATGAAGTCTATTTTCTTGTTATTAATTTATACAATTTTCCCAGCTAATTCACATGGGGGAAAAGCAGAAAACTGGCTTTACTAATTTCTTTTCCTTTCTGAAAATCTCTTGGAACTTCCGGTTTTGTCCTTTTCCATTTTCTTGCTTTGTAAAGAAAACACATAATAATGCTGCAATATTTTATGTAATCAGGAATGTAGTAATTCACCTGAAATGTGGAAAAGGATGTTGCTAATTAAATTTATATTCTAATAGGAAACATACTGAGATTTTTTCAAATGTTAAAATCTTCCAATAAAAATGGAAACAAACCCTATTCTCTGTTTAATACTGAGACTTACATGCATTCAAAATGTCATGGAACTTTATTTTATTTTACTGTCTAAAAAAGAAACAACGACAAGCAATGTTGATTGAGAATAACAGGAAGAACCTTCCATTGGGAATTTGAGGTGCAGCAGCTGGGCCCTCTATCTGCACCTGTACTAGTAAACTACACAGTGCTAGGGAACATCCCCAGGTGATGGTACTCAGTTGTCCATACTGTGATGCTATTTCTGCAACCTGGCATGGTTTTACATAGGCCACTTCCAAGCAAGTGAGTTCTTCTGTAGGCAGTCTGTTCATGGCCATGCTGTTATAGAAGGTAAGATCTAGCTGATATTTCCCATGTGTTGGGTCTAGTGTTGGAGAATTGGTTCTGGGCTCTTTTAATCTACTGTTATAAGTATAGCTCTGTAGGCGTTACAAGACACAGCCTTGTTGTTGGGAGCAGGAAAGTTTGGAAAAAGCCGTGCCTCTGTCTTTCATTATGCTGAAGTGTGTGGACAGTTTCTTCCAAAAGCACAGTTAGGACAAAAGCTGTGGGGTAGTAAAGGATACCCTAAAAGGAAGAAACCAGAACACACATAGAAACTGTGCATCATATTCTCCTTCTTGGGCAGTGTAGGTTTAGAACTACCTAGTTAATTTTCACTTTTTTCAGGACAGAGTCATTTCTATCCTACCCCATTTCCAGTAACTCCTAAAATATCTGTTACAAAGTACAGACTGCTACTTAGTTATTCTGCTGTCATTGTAGATTAATAGCAAATTCAGCTTGATTAAGCCCAGGAATTAAGCTTTTAGTAATCTAAACTATTATATTGAACAATTATAGACCATAAAGACAACTGTATTTTCATGTGTGAAAATAATTATTTATTTTTTTAATCAGATTGGTTTATGGTTTAATGGAAATGAAGATCTAAGCATAACAAAAAGTTGCACAGAACCTTTGCCTCTGGATAGGCTAAGACATCTCATAAAGGTAACTTTAAAAACATCGGTATTTTGAAGAGACCACTTACAAATCTAACCCAGTTGGTTTTGAGGTCAAGTGGTGCTTCAGAATATTATTTCCATGTATAAAAAACTCAAAAGTTAGAAATAATGTAGAAAGGAATCTAGGAATTGTGCTTCAGTATTCTAAATCACAGTCTACTGGCAACACTTCATTACTCCTGTTCTCCTTTAAACCACTTTAATTTTGCTACACAGTAACCAGCTTTGTAAAGAATGGGAGGCAAATGATCCTTGCATCTAAGCTGGCGGAAGCCTCCCTGAAAGAGGGAGGTAATCGTGTGATCTGAACACAAGAAAATGTTATGGATCTATTTGTCATGACACAAGATTTTATTAATTTCTCCTTGTTCTTTGAAAGTCCTCAATCTAGAAAAGAAAATACTACGATTTCTGTTTCTTTGAATGACTCAGACACACTTCAGATTTATCTTATTTTACACAGTCTCAACACATTTTTAAAGATAATATCATTTGTCATTAGTCATTACTATATTTCATCCCTTTCTCTACCATCTTTGATTGTATTTGACTAAATTCCACTTGTATAAATTAATTTACATATTTTTGTCCTTTTATAGTTTTTCTTCAGTTTATTTGCTGATACCAGACAAGATCCTGCTCAGCTCAACTATACTGAGATGCTACTTTATTTTGCCTCCCACTCTGATCCAGTTGAAGGTGTTTACAGAGCACTTAGCGTTGCTACTGGAACATATGTTCATAGAAAAGAAGCAGCTTCTCTTCCACATGTGGTAAAAATTACAGTAAAATATTAGAGAATAGTAATGGTCCTTGCAAATTACAAATTACATTGATTTCTGTATATTTTCTCCTGTATATATATCCTGGGTGGCTCCAGTCCTTACAAGGAGTCCCACTGATTTCATGGGAACTCAGCATATAGTTCCACTGACTTTGGTAATGATACTCAGAAGTATTCTTCCAAAAGTCTGAAGATTTTCTTGCCAAATAATGAGAGTTTAACATGTTCGCTGGTAACTACTCCTTGTACAGATGAACAGAGGACATTCTTTGACCTAGCCTTAGGCAATTTAGTTCAGCTGTCAATGCCCAGGCATTAGACTGTAGTGTGACTCATGGTATTGTTATATGAAGATGTAAAACCTGGTATTATTGCTGGTCTTTCTTTTCTGCTATGTTTCTTTGGGGTATTTATAAGTATATACACCTTTGTAGTTATTTTCAAGTGTTTCAGTTTCCCTATAAATAAGAAGGATTAATAATTGATAATTAGTTTCATTTGAAATAATTTTCAAAAATTTTTTTAGAGTCATCATGATCGTAGTGTCACATTAATTTTTTTGAGATACAAAATCTGTATCTGTATACACCTTGGAAAGAGCTTGCTCTTCTAGACAGCAAAATGTTTCACTATGCTGACATAACCACAGTGACTCTAGCATTTGTCTAATACTTAAAATAGAGTTGTGCTCTCCAGAAACAGTATAGAAAGGGCATTATTTTACAACACAGTGTAGTCCTATACATATTCATAATTACATTTTATCAATGACAAAATATATTATTGCACTCCCCTGTGTCTGCTTTTATTTGGCACAACAGAGTTTTTGTCCATGGGAGAGACTGAATAAGACAATTTTGTCTTCACATTTCGTAGAATCATAGAATCATAGAATCGTTAGGGCTGGAAGGGACCTTCAAAGGTCATCTAGTCCAACCCCCCTGTAAGGAACAGGGATATCTCCAACTAGATCAGGTTGCTCAGGGCCTCGTCCAACCGGGCCTTGAACGTCTCCAGGGATGGAGCATCCACCACCTCTCTGGGCAACCTGTTCCAGTGTTCTACAACTCTCATGGTAAAAAATTTTTTCCTAATATCCAATCTGAATCTACCTCCCTCTATTTTAAAACCATTACCCCTTGTCCTATCACAACTGGCCCTCCTGAATAGCTTCTCCCCATCTTTCCTGTAGGCCCCCTTGAGGTACTGGAAGACCGCTATAAGGTCACCCCGGAGCCTCCTCTTCTCCAGGCTGAACAGCCCCAACTCTTTCATAGAAAGGAGAGCACAGAATGCTCCCAATTAGATACAGTAGATCTGAACTTAGTTTCCCATGTCAGCGGGAAGTCCTAACTCTCATGTCATTGGATATAAAGCAGCACAACCTGTTCTCCTCCTTATTTTTTCTGCTTGGCTTGATCTGTTTGGTTTGGACTTTTGTAAGATTGTAAGTAACTGCACTGGCATTATCACCTCTGTGTCAAAAACTTCTTAAGGCTGTGAGTCACAAGTGAAGGGAAACATTTCCCTTCAATATAGAATTAACAATGTATCTCTGAGGAGAAAGATTTATACCCTGTCCAACCTGAGAATTTCTTCATACTTAGTTTCCCACTCAATGCATTTACTCTCTGAATCTCTGCTATGTCTGACGTACATCTCTGTCGTGGGTTAGGCCACTCCAGCAACCAAACCCTACACAGTCCCCCTCTCACCCTCTCCCACCCCCAGGGATGAGGGAGAGAATCAAAGAGGAAAAAGAAAAGACACCCTTGGGTTGAGATAAGAACATACTTACTACTGCTACCAATATATATATATACAGATATGTACAAGGATAAACATATGCAAACGAGTGATGTACAGTGTAATTGCTCACCACCCCTTGACCGAGGCCCGTCTCATTCCAAAACTGCAATCCCGAAATGGATAAAACTTGATACCGAGTGAACAGGAGGCCCCAAGACAGAGAGAGAGAGAGAGAGAGAAAGCACTCTGAGAGCCCGAAAGTGAGAGTCCCGGAAGGGCAAAAGCCCTTCTTTCCGGCTGACCCTCACTTTTATACTGGGCATGATGCTGCATGATATGGAATACTAATTGGCCAGTTTGGCCCTCAATCTTAAGTTCAAGTACAAATCATAAGGAGAGTCGTGGACCCCTTGTGCCGGCCATGCTCCCCCTTTATCCTGTTGTGCTCCTACACACTGGCAAGAATACAGCAAGCTGAAAAGTCCTTGAGACCTCCGTGACAACTATAAACATCAACTTGCTATCAGCATTCTTCTCAGAGCGAGCCTCTGAGTAAAACCAAAACACGGAGCTCTTCTAGTTGCTAAAAAGAAGAGCTAACTCTGTCCCAGCTAAAACCAGGACAATCTCACAATGTGTTATAGAGACAGTTTGTGTGCCTAATTCATCTCAGAGAGTCCCTTAGAAACCTAGAAATGGCTAAGAATTATATGCTAAATTATTATCTTGCATGTTTGAATTCTCTTTGACTTTATAGTTTTCTTATACAGATTGATGCTCAGAATTGCAGGGCTGATAGAACATCTTTTTAATCTTTTCTTTCATCTTATGCCTTGTATTCCATATGTATACACTGTAACAATAATGTTGAATGCAGAAGAAAGAGAACAAATAAAATCCTGTTTTACTGAAGCGAATGAGTTTTCACCATTGGGTTCAGTAGTGCAGGCATTTCATGCAGGATATTCAACAATCACAAGGGGGGAAAAAGTAAATTGTGAGTTGTATCATGGCATGTTTGACTCAAGCTCCATCAAATAGAAAGGTGTAGATCCCTGTAGACATCCAAAGTGGTTTTCAGCACCAAATTAAGAAACCAAACCTTTGTCTACCTGTGATTGTTTACATGCGATCTAAATATCCCTGTTCTCACTACAGGTATGAGAAATCTAAATATTCTATTAGAATAATCTATTAAATACTATCAGTGGAATATTCCGCAGTGGAATATAAAGAGCTATCCAGCTCATCTCAAAGAAGTTTTGTAAAACACCTTAGATAGCCAGCTTATAAGTAAGCACTTACACAGTAACACGATTTATCTCTTATCTTTTTCTTGTTCTGTATTGATAACTGTAATGACTTCTCATTGGTAGCTGCCTACAAAACTACATCTGGAACTTTAATGATATTAATAGGAGAAGACCAAACAAACGTCTTCTAGAGACTTTTGTTACTTTCACAGCAAAGACCCTTTCATTTAAAATGCTTAGCTTTTAAGTCTCAATAATTTTGTTATTGTTTGTGTAGATTTTATAGCTAAATGTAAACGGTACAGTGGGAGACAGAAGAACCTAAGTGCTGATGTTTGTGTAATCTCCGCGGTTGAGTGTTAAAAAGACTGTAACAATGACTCTGCTCCTCTTATGTTGAAAAAGACATGTATTAAGGTCTAGGACATGTAGCACAAGTGTGACTGAATCTCAGCAGTCTCTCCCTCCTAATCAGGAAAAAAATGGCATGTTCAATTAAATGCAATTTCCTGTTGTTTTTAGTGGTTGGTCTACACAGTGGCCTAATCTAGTTGAAGCATTGTTCACCTATGTGAGGTCCTTTGTCATCTTTGTGTTCACAAAACTCTACAGTGTTTGTTTTTCTCTTTGGCCATCTCTAATGTCACCACAAAGATGCCTCATTGTTTTTTTAGAGTAAACTTCTAATTTTTCTGCATAAAGCCTTTTTTATCTTTTTCTGTAGAGAGCAGTCAGCTTATGTTAACTGTTAGTCAAAATAAAGTTCTTGCCGTCACTCCTTGATTTGGACTAGAAAATTCGTGCTGCTTTTTTCATGTGAACATCCAGAATTACTAAGTTTACGCCTTGTACAAACACAAAGTTCTTGGTAGAGTATTGTAATTTGTAACTATTAGCTATTTTTATGTTTTGTTGCTCTGAAGAATATTAATTTCACTGTGCAATGTTGGCCACATTCCTGGGAAAAGCTGTTTATTAAATTTCTACAAACACTAACATTATGGATATTTCTAGACTATGAGGATCTGTTCTTTGATCTTATAGTTCAGTAGGTAATTTTGTGTGAGTTGATGGATTTTATTTTGTAGAATGGAAGTTTGGAAGTATAATTTGCTGATCCTTAATGAATGTCTAACTGAAACAGGTGACCTACTGACAGACTATTTTTCACTAAGTGATAAATTACTTATGCTTCATTTTCTTAGGATTTTCCTTATACCAATGTAGTGCCAAATGAGAGAACTTTAATAGAAGATGAAAAAGAAGTCTGGAACTACACAGGTGAAGGTATGATTTCAATGGCAACTATACTCCAAGTATTTCATACCGGAGAAAGTAAAGATGAAGATAATCATAGACTTAGTAATCTGGAGAAGGAAGGCAACTATGATAAGGTAGGCTGGTTGATTCATGTAAGGTTTTGTACCTTGCATTATGTGTTAAATAAATACTTGCTGCAATTTTTGCTTTTCCTCATTCTTTTTAACACTGAGTAATTTGACCATATATTATTTTTTCTTAAAGCATTTTATCAAAATATACAAAGAATTAGGCTCTGAAGATCTGACACCCATTCCAGTTGCACTCCTTTTGAAGCACCCTTTCATTCAAGACTTGATCAACAAATATCAAGAATACAAACTTCCTGTAAGTATCGTTTTCTGGGACCAAGAACTTTGTAATTACACATATTGAAATTTACATATCCCAGATGTGTAAATGTAATTAATTTAGATACTGCCAATTTGCAGTGTAGACCAGATGTACAGTATAGCAGGTTGTAGATTAGATCAGTTGTTTTGTTTTCCATGAAAAATCCATCCTTCAAAGACTGCACTGCTTTCTAACCCTTTTTTTTTTGCACACCTGTCTTACTGGCCTATAGCTGCCTACAGATTTTCTACTGCCTTGTCACATGTGGCATTACCTTTCCCCTCACTTGTAGGAAGGAGCCTGGTTGAATTATCTTCCCAACTGGATCTTACTGCAAGACACTATGGGATATGTGATAGAACACATTCCATCCCAGACCAACCAGGCTGCAGAAAAGGGCATGCAGAGGTAGCATAGGTTCAAATGTTCTTCCTTGACATACTCTAGAGCTTCGCTGTTACCTGCACCTGTGTTTAAATCTGCATTAAAACAGTTGCACATAAAGCAAGTTTGGGCCAGAGTAGCAACCTATTAAATGTATCAAACTATTGCAAAAATATGTGATATACAGGGTGTAAGAAAATAGTGTGAGACAAGATTAAAGGGTACTTGCATTTGCATGCCCACAGATCAAATATAAAGAGTCTTCACGAGTTTGAGATGATCACCACCAGGGGCACATAGTGTCCCACAAACTGTAAGTCTGAATCAGATACATGCTACTCCAGGAGTAACTTGCTATTTCCTAATTATATTCATCATTTGTAAAAAGTGAAGTGCCCAGCATTTATTATATCACTCTTATTCATTGTTAGTAAAGGCAAGATATAAGAATGAAATAATCTATTTACTCTGTCAAAGTAAGGGTTAAAAATCTATTTGCTGTAATAGGAAGAGATACAAAAGGAAAATGTAATACAGAGACAACACAACTGAAGATTATAACTGTCAATGGGTATCTATCCTGCTTATGTTAATGTCTCAGCCAATTTAGGAAGATAAAGACTGTAGAGTGTTAGGTCATTCCTTGCTTTCCTTCTCCATTCTTTCTTCCTGACCCTTTTTATTTAATCAAGGACTGCATTTACTAATTTGAACATTTTTTCCAACTTCACCGAATTTCTTGAGACCAAAGCATTTCTTAAACTGGCTCTCTATTCTATACATGATACATCTCAAGCACTCTTATTTACACGAACACCTTACTGACTTTGCAATATTCAACATAATGCAAGCTCCCTGTGAAGACCGAATGTGATGCAACCTAAAGTAATACTTAACTAGGGCGTAAACTGAGTGATGCCATATGCATATACTTTGCTGTTTACAGGGAGGAGGACTTTTTAAAACCTTTTCGCACTAACCAATAGCTGAATATCAATATCTCAGTGTCTATTCTTTATGAAAATTTTTAATTTTCCAGTACCACTTTCAGGAGGAACTATGTTATATAGCTTAAAGAGTAGATGGTAGTAAACCTTTAAAATTTATTAGCTACCATCAATCACTTACCTTATTTGAGGCTGGTAGGATATGTTCAGGGCAGTACAGTTATAAAAATTGTCAGTCTATGAGAAAAGGTGTAGGTGAGAAACTATTGTATATGAATCTTGACATGAGCTGATGGTTTCAGTGTGCATGGTCTAGACCGAAGGATTTTCTGCAGGTTGTCTACCAAAGATATGTTGGTATCATCACATTTAAGTAATACATTTTTCTACTTATTTCACAGATAAATTTGATGCCTGCATCTCCTGACTTGACAGTTAAGTGATGCAGAGCTTCAGTTTTCATTTGTAATACTTGGAATTTCCTCTTGCAAGGGCTTATACTGACTGTATCTCAATATAGTGCTCCATGGTTTACACACTTAAAAAGAGAAGATTATATTCCTTGACTGTACTGGTAAATACATACTGCTGGTTTATGCATGAAATCAACGCTTTTCAAATTCTAACTCACTGGGGAACACTTAAGACCACAAGTTCTTTCTCAACTTTACAGCAAATTATTATATTCACTGGCAAACAGGCATAGAGATCCAGTGGCCATTGTTTTATGTAGGTTAGGATTCCGGTCAAAAACATTTGTACTCCAGGAACAGTTTTCCTCTGACAGTTCTTCAAAGAACTATATTTGGTGAACAGGTAAACTTTTTTCTTCCCAAAATAACTCCAAAGTAATTAAACAATATTTTTAGCATCAATTATTTCTTCAGAAATTCTCCTGAGACTATAAAAATCTCTATAAAAATGAAATTCAACCACAGTGCTGTTATTTTGAGATCTTTTACAAGATAAATACAGCAAGTTAGGGTGTGGTTTCTAAGGTTAAAATGTTACTACTACTGCAGTCATAAACAGTGGAAAATAAAATGTTTTGATGAAAACTATAAATGGAATATCTAGCTTAGATTTTTTTTAAATTTGAGTTAGGGTACCTGATTCCTTTCGCCTCTTTATGACCTGTTGAATTTTAACCCATACTATCTCTGATAAAAATATTTTCTCCAGGTGAGATATATTCTTGTCTTTTGAAGGGAGTTTGTTTTCTCAATTCATATACCAGTCGACTGGCAACATCCTACATGATGATGACTTTTCTGTTAGCACAGAGATGCCAACAAATTAACAAGCTTAGAGATTATTTTACTTTTTCATCTGGTCTTTTCTGTCCTGATTAGAAGTCTTTCCGGTCCTGACTAGAACTTTCAAGTGGTTTTCCATTATCAACACATTTTTTTCACTTATCAGATTAATTTTATTCCTTTAGAATCATTGACCACACCTATACATGAGTGTGTGTTTATGAATGAACTTCATCACATTCTGAATTAAATTGTCTTTAACTACATTTAATGATAAATAGGATAATATTTTTATTACACCAACTGATTTGGATTAAAGAAATAGGCAATTCTGCTTTTTCCACTGCTTAGGTTTGTCTATTAAGGTTAGTCTTCTTCAGGCCTGATATTATTTCTTGATACAAATTCTACCTTCTATCCTGAAACTGTCACAGGTACAGTAATATAGAAACAACCACACATTATGGTATCTTTGCATTTTGATTGTGATAAATTTAAATAAAGAGTCTGGGATATATTCAATTTCCATTGCATTAGTCTATTGTTTCAAGTGAACTACATTCTTATAATTAGTGAGGATAACAGGGTAATTTGATAATTTGCATTGTTTGTTGATATCAAAACTATTATGCATTTGATAATGTTATGTTACATTTTTTATCTTGCTTTCAACTCCTGAATAGTCCTCTTTAAAAAACTCCAGTTTTGAAGATAGGACTGTGTCCCAACCCACAACAGACTGTCATGCATTTCTACACGTCTGTGTTTTGAATACACTTAGCATAGGCACTTGCATTAAGCCTGTCCCTTCTAAATTGATTGTTGTATTATTACTGCTGTTATTGTTGTTGATTTTGTTAATTATATCAGTAACATTACTCAGATATTTATTCAAATAGGACTTCCACTGAGACAGCATTTCTAGTAATGTATAGTTAAAACATCTTTATAAAAAAAAATCCAGATTTATTAATATGTTTAACAATTATTACAAAATCTCTTTATACTCACAGCAGCCATTTAATATTACACATCTCAACAAACACTTAGAACTCCATGTATCATTTAACAAAGTAAAATTGCCTTCTGTCTAGGGAGAGTTCATACATGTTGTATTCAGTAAGGCTTATGAGTCTCAAAACTTAATGCTTTGGCAGAAAAAAAGCACTGCTGAATCACTGTCTGCTCATAGGCAGTAGTTGTAATACTTATGAAACTTGAAAAGCCTTTTTCATGTGATGTTTTAAATGTCCGAGGGTGCAAGAGAAGGAAAATTTAACTCAATGTGTAAATACCTAGTTTAAAAAAGAGACTTTGTTATGTTATGCTTCTCTCTATCATGTGTTGAATCAAAAAAATCTTAGGAAATGCAAATATACATGAAAAATGTTGTTTCTTACTTTTAAAAATGATTTAAAAATCTGTTCATGTAACAGAAGCATTGTTTGCTTCATTAAACACAGACATAGTAAATTGTAGTTGGAGAATTATTTCTCCAGTGTTTTGAGGTTATTTAGTTTTGGTTTCCTCTGTAAAACTGGTAGTTACATAAATAAGATCTGTCCAGAACACGTTCTTATATGCTATTCTGTCACCATTTTTTCTGCATCAGACTATAATTTTCAATCATACAATTCTTACTTTTAGACTGATATTTAACATATATTTCTGTGACATTGCTAGGGTATAAAATTTCGACTTCTCACTCATTTGAACACAATGACAGTATTGGATGTGTCTCTCTGTTATCATTTGCTCCATGATGATCAGCAGTAGCTTTCTCAAACTTATTTTTCACAGGAACATAGATTTGTACTTTATATTTAGAACTCTTATATTAAAATTCATATTCTATCCCTCCAGAAGCACTACAGCTTACTGAAATCCACATCTGCTTCATGTGGTAATGATAAGTACTGATAATGAACTTGCTGAAGGTTCCATTTGATAACACTGTTGTCGAACCGGAATTGAAACTGCTTTTTCTGATTCAATGTGCTGAGAGAGGCCTCCTTAAACTGAAGTATTTCTCAGAGTCAAAGATAAATGTTAGTACTACCTTCTAAAGCAAAAGACTGGTAAAATTATCTTTTAACATGGTTCTTCTGTATTCACTGAAATGCTCCTCGTATTTTGCAAAGCATGTAAAGCATCCTTACCTACAGGTAGTTTCTGCTTTTGAAAAAGGCTGTATCCTCAAAATATGAACAAAATACATATTGGAGTATGTATTTAACTAAAACAAATCTATTTTATAAAAATTCTGACTGTTAATTATTCTCCTAAAGGAAAAATATGTTTATTGACAGTATCAGAAAATGCTAGGAAGTGGAATTACAGTTTATCTTCGTATTAACCATTGAGCACTTTTTTTTCTAATAAAAAATTCCTTGTTCATCCTACTTAC